CTCTCTAAGTATTCATGTCTGCCCTCGACAGCTAATCTGTAAATCATCTACATAGAGATCTCAAGATGGTGGGAGGAAGTTTTTTTAATACAGAGTTTAATTTTAGGCTGAACAGCATTACACTAAGCACACAGCCTTGAGGCACACCCTCTTCCTGTTCAAAAACATTCGAAAACAGAGACCAATTCTTACTTGAAAAGTTCTAGTGTTCAAGAAATTCTGAATAAAAATTGGTAGGTCGCCGCGTAAGCCACTCTCGTGGAGATCGTGAAGTATACCGTATCTCCATGCCTTATCATAAGCTTTCTCAATGAGACAAGGTGACTTCTTTTGACAAAAGCTTTTCGAATAGATGTCTCTAAAAGAAGCATATTATCTATGGTCGTTCTTCCCTTTCGAAAACCGCTTTGATAAGGCGATATAATATTATTCTTTTCCAAGAAGTAGACTTTACCATCTTTTCAAACAGTTTGCATAGGCAACTCGTAAGAGCAATTGGCCGATAGTTGGAGGGATTCCTTGGATCTTTCCCTGGCTTAGCAATAGGAATGACAACAGCTCTCCTCCATGCACTGGGAAAGGTACACTCCTTCCACACTCTATTGTAAAGAGTGAGAAGGGCAGTCAGTGACTTACAGGACAGATGCTTTAGCATTTCGTAATTCACGCCAATCAAGACCCAGAGAAGACCTATGTGTCTGCAACAAAGCTCTCCTTAATTCAAGCATAGTAAAGCCTCTATAATAAGGCTCATAGTTGGAAGAGTTGAATGCGATGGGATTTATTTCAGAGTGCTGCTTCATAGAGAGAAATGCAGGTGAATAGTTTGCTGGAAGAAACGGCAGCAAATGCCTCACCAATAGTATTCGCAATTTCTTCTATGGAGCTAATCACTCGGTCCATCTTTTCCAAAAGGAAAGTGAGTGGTCTTTATATATGCCGCATGCTTTTCGAACTCTTTCCCAAACCCGCTTACTAGGCGTCGAGGATGTTATTGACGACACATATGAAATCCAAGAATTCCTTTGGCTCTGCCTTCCTTACTTTTCGTCCACTTGCTTTGGCTCTGTTAAATGCTATGAGGTTTCGCAAGAGTAGGGATATCTACGATAAAAATTCCCTATGCTTTTTTTCTGTTTTTTCAGTGCTTCATGACAGTCACGATTCCACCATGGTTTCGAATATTTTAGTATTTTTCCTGAGGTTCTAGGAATGGAAGAGCATAGCTGCCTGAATGTCCTATAAGAGTATTAGTAACAGCTTCAACAGCGTCATCGATATGCACCATCTTTCTACCATTTCATCTGTATGAGCTCTGCAATGGAAGAGAAGAGTTCCCAGTCTGCCCTATCGAGTATGAACCGAGGGGATCTCGACATGGGGTTTGCTCCTCTTTGTGCAAGAGATACAAAAATAGGATAGTGATAGACACAAAAATGGGATAATGATCACTGTTATAAAGATCATTTCCCACACTAAAAGATGAGGCACACAGAGATGGTGAACAGATGGCAAGGTCGTGAGCATGGAATTTTCTTGAAGCCTCACGGAAGTATGTGTCCTGCCCATTATTCAGGAGACAAAGGCTATGATCTTCGATCAATCGCTCAATTTGTCTTCCTCGGGAATTTGTGTCTTTACTTCCCCACAGCGGACTATGGCCGTTAAAATCCCCTATTATGATAAAAGGCTCAGGCAGCTGCTCTATAAGGCCATTTAAATCCTGCTGATCAACATGCTCATATGGAAGCAAATAAAAAGAAATGACTGAAACAATATAAAAATTTACCTGAGTAATGACAACTTGGAGGGATGTCGTCAAAGGAAGTACATTTGATGGATAGTTCAATGAGGTGAGGAGGCCTACACTGCCACTGGCACACTCACCTGAAAGACTGTCTTTCCTGATAAAAGAAAATCTCTAAAGCTTTATTTGTTGTCCTGGTTTCAGATTTGTTTCCTGTATTGCGAAGCTACAGGCACTGATAAGCATTATTATGGCTTTGATGTCGACGCAAATTTCGGTGGAAACCGCGACAGTTTCCATGAGACGAGGGTGGCCCATTATGATTGGTTTTTGTTCTTTCTGTGCTGCTTGTTTGGTTTTGTCGTAGAAGTATGATGCCTGGGAACTTCCAGCCCCTCCTCTACTTCCATACTGTCTGAATCCGCAGATTCAGAAATCATTTCATCAAAAGAGCTTTTGCTGGAACTTCTATTTTTATTTGATACTTTTTTAGCAGCAGTTTTGGGTTTACTTTGAATGACTGTTTCTTTATTTTGCATTAAATGAATTGAATTTTCCGTTTTCTTGTTGGATGTGGTCGGTTGGGTTTTATTTGGTACAGTCTGCGTGCCTATTGATGTTTGGGTGGCAAAGCTACATGTTGTTTTAACGACACTGGCATTTGATTTGTTTTGTTCAAGCTGTATGCTTTGAACTAGTTTTCTGGCTTCAGCATACGAGATGTTCCTGGTAACTTTTGCAGTCTGCACTTCTTTTTCGGATTTCCATTTTGGGCACAGGGGTGAAAATGCTGGGTGCTGACCCTTGCAATTTATACACGAAGGCGCAGCAGTACAATTTTCAGAATCGTGGCCAATCTGTGAGCATCGTGCGCATGTGAAGCTGCCACGACAAGACACCTTAGAATGGCCAAAACGCTGGCATTGGAAAATCGCATAGGGTTAGGAATATAAGGTCTTACAGGACAATTTAAGTATCCAGCCTTAATATTCTTAGGCAGATCAGGCGTGTTGAAGGTAAGGATCACGTGTTTCGTATCGATCAACTTACCTTCCTTCGCATCTTGATCCGCCTAGCACCGCAGACATTTTGGTCAGCTAACTTGGAAGCGATCTCTTCTTCAGGAAACACACAGAAGGTCGATTCCGAGATCACGCCACGACAAGAATTAAGTGTTTGTGTGCTGGACACAGTATAGATATTGCTCCAAGTTTGGTTTGTGAAGAAAGAGAAGCAGACTGGGTGGCTGATACAGTATCAATAAGCAGGTCTCCAGAACGGAGGACGCTTTTTTCTTCGGCTCACCTATGCATGATTGAATTGATTTGCTTACAGAAAGAGATCTTTTGAAGTTCACCAGAAGGACCATAGACAACAAGGAAGCGAGGGATTTTCAGAAGTTTCCTTGGCATTTGATTTGGAAGATCTTCTTGCTAATTTTTGTCAACAATTTCCATATCTTTGCATTTGCACTGTATGGATCTTCTTATTGATGGATTTGTCGACAATTTCGATATCTTGTTTGGTTTCATTTGACTCGGGTTTTTTTAAGGATAAAAAGAGAAGCCATGATTGAAAGAGAAAAAAATTCGGATCCGACGGCCCCACCCACCACGGAGCCCAACAAGGGAACACAGATTCCTGTGTTAGGGCTAGCTGGAGCTATACGCAAACTGAAGCCCCACAGTCGGCTTTCCTGAAAGCAGGTACTCCTGAGAGCTTGACCCCAAGCCACTGACACAAGGATTAGTGACCAGCCGATTGACACCCGTGAGGACGACTAAGGTGCCTCCCGTTTAGCTGAAGCAGAGGCCAAAGCAGTGTGTTGGGGACAATACCTCGCCCCTCAACTACCAGGACCCTCCTTTCCAGCGACACGGGTCTCCACACACGGCAAACACGTGGGCAGTTTTCTCGCCACTTCAAAACTAGAGACAAGGGCTGTTCCAATTTCTCGTGACGAGCCCCAAACTCCGAAGAGGGAAACCACAAGGGAGAAGGGAAGGGAAAAAGTTCCAGCCAAGAGGAGAGGAGACGGAAAAGAGGATAGATCACTGGGGCTCCAGGATCGTGACACCCGTCTCACAAGAAGATGATCCCCTGAAGGGTTAGGGTACCTCGGGATTGCCACACCCGTACTCACAAAAGTCAGCCCCTGAGGGGGCAATAATTATGGATTACAATATTTAGTAATGCTGATGTTTTTTAACAACTCTTCTTTTAATCATAGCAGATATATACAGTCAAAAGTCTTTAATCCGGACTCGTCGGGACTCCGGCGATTCCGGATTATAGATGATCAATTTAAATCTGGTAAGATGGCGTGCAGAAATTATAAAATTAAAAATATAAAACTGTAATTATTAATAAGAGCAATTATGATCTAAGGGTATCAAAATTTACAAAAAAAAGTTAAATTTATTTGCTTACTTTATTAACATTTCTTTCAACGTGTGCATGCGTAATCTACATTATGCATCGTTAAAATTAGAAAATTGCAACCAGAAAACTATTTGATGTGCATTCGTGTATTTAAAATGACAAGGAATTTGATTTAAATCATATCAAGACAGAGTACATCGAATGAAAAGTAAATTTAGTAAGGAATATAAGCCGAATAAAAAAACATCTGCCCTGAAGATAAGGATAGTGCTGACTGATCAACCAGTTCATTTCGTGCCGCGATGTCCCCCCCCCCAAGAGCAGCGTGAAATTTATAAACAGATTTCGGAATGGTTAAGAAACAAAGGATATGCTTATCCATTTTTTGCGAAATTCCACTTTTTGTTTGATGGACATCAAAACATGCTTTTGCTTTGATTTTGGCGGCTCCAGAATCGGAAATTTTTTTGACACAATTGAAAGTTCAAGCTACTTTATAAAACTGCTCTAACAGTCTGCAAAAAATAATAAGCCGGATCCAATTCGAAGATTAAGAAATAACGCAATCTGCAACATTAACTGAAATAGATAATTAGATAATTTTAGCTTAGCTTATATCATCTGTTATACATTAAACGTGCATGCGTAAATGCATAATGTGTTTACGCGGTGCGCAGAAAGTTTGTAGCTTTGAGCTCCAGATTATAGATCATTCCGGATTAAAGACTTTTGACTGTACACGTTTCTTTGAGAATTTCTTTGCCAGTTTCAGTTCTTTTCTTAGAAACAAACAGCAAAATGTCTACAAATTTTTTTCTTGGAAGGAATTGGGGGATATATATCTAGCAAAATGTCGAACAGTTAGTTTCATGTGATTGAGAGTTGAACTGGAGACATCTTTGAGCTTTGGAAAGAGCATGCAAAATGGTGCAAAATGTGTTTGTATATTTCACAAAAATATGGACAGGTAATGCCATCTGTTAACCCACATCTGAATAAATAATAAAACATCACAGAAAAGCCGAAATGAAATCATGGATGGGAAAAGAGCAGGTTGCACAGTTAAATAAACGAAAAATATGCATCCCTGCAGGCGGGTTGTGCAAATTTTGCCGTGTTGCCTGTGGAAAATACAGGATACACAGCAAGAAGGTTAATCCTATGAGACAAATAAACGCTCAAATATTTTTTTTTAAAAATAAATCTGAACTTTATAAGATCCACTATAATTTTTGTTTACCTCATGGAGTTGAAACTTACCTCAATATTATCTTCTCCATACTTTTCTATAGCCTTTTCTTCAGAAAAACCAATACAGCCATATTCCAAAGGTGTAAAAACAGTAGTTGGAACTTTATCATAATCACACTGAAAATAAATTAATAGTTTAAAATTTAATACTAATTTTACAAAATAAAATTAACATTTATTGAATGCATAAAATTTTAACACTCATATTAAAAAAGAAGTCAGCCTATAAATATACACACAAAATAGATTTTCAGTCTAGCCTCTATGGGGTTGGACTTTAGTTTCAATAAACAAAAGCACAGTTAATCCACTCAAAAATGCACAGAAAAGAGCATTTACAGATTTCAAATTAAATTAAAAAATATGTATTTATGCAGTGTGTAAATACTTATTAAACATTTAATTAATTAAAAATTATTGTCTTTTATTTCACTTCTAGCTTTGAATAAAATTCACATCAGTAATATGCATAACATTAATGTAGATGAATTGCTTTGCCATTAAAAATCTTATTCATCAACAGAAACTCCCATTTTTAGGGGTTTCTTCTTCTGGAAACAGTTTTTTCCAATTCTAATTGCTTACTAAATTTAAACGATTCCTGTTTTCCCATTAACCATTTCCTCAATTTTTTTTTTTTTTTTTTGTTGTTTATATTTACTTTATTGTGTATTCAGTTAACAGGTTCTCCATTATCAATATATGTTCCAAAATTTTTATTCATTAGTTAGCATGCCATCTCTCTTTCTATTCAAATCTTTGTAAAATTCAATAACGATCAGAAAGCAAAGAAAACAAATGCACATGAAGTGGTTATAATTTTACAGAGCTACATCAATCATTAACTGAAGCATGAAACTTTTCAAAATAATGGCTTGAACAGCTATCATCACACTTCATGAGGTGTATTATTCACTTAACATATAACAATTCTGATCAAGTAAAATTGGCAGAGGAGAAAAAAGACACTCGAAAAGCAACCCTTGATAAATGGTATGATTACATGGAACAAATTACCATTAATTTATTATATTCCACATGCATTTAATCATAGCCTGTTTTCAGCAGGCTGCCATTCCTCAAAATACAAGGTTTTTAATTTATCTTCCCAACTTAATCATTCTATTAGTGATTAATAAATTGAACAATTTCAAAGCAATAAGTAGTTTTCAATATTTTAAATCTTTATTTTTTAAAATTTATATAACCAGTAGAAATTAAAATAATTTACAATCTGCAGCATTGTTGTCAATAAAACAATGCTTCTTATGCAATGTTACATAACTGATAAAATCTTTTTTTTACAAACTTGTATAATGTTTTATATTTTTTAAAATTTTTAATGAACTCTTCTTGCTGTGTTAGACTATAATCTAAAATCTTCAGATATTAGTTTCTTTTTAAATTTTCACTTACTTTCTGAATGAAATAATACACTACATTTTCGTAGAAATTTTATCTGAGAAAGAAAAAGTCTTAAAAATATGAACAGTTAATATGAAAGCCAGATAAACAGAAACACGAAACTGTTAAAATATAACAATTCTTTAGCAGATGGAAAAAATTTACAGTTTCCATCCCTTAAATACAGCATAAAGAAAACAAGCTATATCTATTCATTACGTTTGCTAATTTAAAAGTAATAACAGATACTATTTTCATTTTGAATACTATTTTCATGATCAGAAAAATTAAAAAACAAGGAACACACAACAATTCAACATAAATGGGGAACTGTTTTTTTTTTTTTTAGCCAGCTAAAAACTATGACCCATACCAGGGATGGGCAAACTATGGCCCGCGGGCCAACTCCGGCCCTCCGGAAGCTCCTATCTGGCCCACGGATAGAATTTTAATTTGCCGGCCTGAGGCAAATTAAAAGAAGTTTATATATTATATATCCATCTACTTTTCCACTTTGTTTAAATACTTTTATTTTCCTTCCCTTTTTTCAAAGAATTGATGATCTTTTTACGTTCTCTATTTTTGTGCTACAAAACATAAATCGACGAAAATTGCAAGCACAGACTGCTTTCAATCGGTAACAGTGTTAAAAGCGAAAGTTCTTTGTTAGTTATAGGTGTAGATTGGCGCCAACAAGTGTTATCTCTTTCTCGAGCAGACATATGGGAATCCAATATATGTGAATTAGACCTCTTAGAAAAAACTTAATTATCTTAACTCAAAACTTACTTAATAAAACTTAATATGTTTGCTGGGCATCTAGCTAACGAACTTGTCTCATTTTCCTGAGGTTAAATTCAATACCCTCAGTAAATGAATAGAAGCTTAAGAATTATGAAGATGGCTTTGAAGATGAAGAAAAACTGCATTTTGAGTTCGAACGCAAGATTTCAGTGCCATTACAAACAGAACTGGATATTTTTATTACAGCTTTCAACGTAAATTGTGAAGGCAGTAAGGATCATATTTGCAGCTTGACTTAATTTATTTGCAATCTAACAATCATCTCAAGCAGTAGTTTCTAAATATGCCAAAGTTTGAGTTTTACAAATCATTATCGAAAGTAAGTTTCCCAAATTTATATCTCACGCCCAGAAAATCAGTGCTATGTTTGCTTTATCTTATATATGTAAACAAGTGTTTTCAACTATAAAACTTAGAAAGAATTATTTCAGAAGTAGACTGACAAATGAGCATTTAGCCACGTTCCTTAGAATCAGTACATCTCACTTCGAACCTCAATATAAAGGAACTTTTTAAAAATGAAATTCGCAATTTCATTCATCTCATTAACATATTTAACTTGTAATAATTGTATATTTTTTTTTTTAATTTTAGAAAAACTTATCTTGGCCCGCCAAACTTTTCTCTTTCGATTTTCGGCCCGCGACAGAAAACGTTTGCCCATCCCTGACCCATACCATATATGATTCATGCTGTCTATTAGAAGGAAAAAGTACTACCTCTTCTTGAATGATGTGAACACTTAGCCATTGAATTATAAAGAATATTTGCTACAATCAGATTAAGCAAATCTAACAGACTCACAGTTCTAATCGGATTGTCAAATTAAATTTAACAACACTCACATGAAGAGAAGAATATGAAAGAAATAGGAAGAAATGTACTTTCTGATTACTTGACTTCCATAAGCTGAAATGCTCAAAGAACATTCAGCATTAAACAATTCAAATACATCCTTTAAAATTAATATTAGCTTTCTTTTTTTTATGATTTAATTTTAACAGGGTATCAAACTTAGGTTTTGTTGCTACTATATGTCAGAATTATTTAATTTTCTTGCTTAATTTTTAAGTTTCTTAGACAGCAGAATGTCACTACAAATGAATACTAAATGAACATTTACAAATATAAAGAAATATCTTAACAAAATATTTACTAATAAGAGTAATAATTAAATATTAAAGGCTAATATAATATATGAAAAGACTTTCAATTATGAGAGGAAATATTTTTGAATTATTCCATTACAATGTAACTCATTTACTAAGCCTCCTCCCCTCCCAAAGCACACTCATATTTATATGAATATGAGAATTCTATTATAAATTTTATTACCTTGTTCTAAAAATCATTAATGACCTTAAGAAAGGAGAGAGAAAAAATGTAGTTGAATATCCAAACTAGGCAACAGAAACAAACAGAAAAAATACTATTACAGCATTTTAGTCTTATTGGCAAATTCTGAGGCTATGCAGATTAGATCTCAAAATCCCTATGTAAATAAACTTTAATTTTTTTTATATGTGTATCAAATCAATACAAATGAGAATGTAAACATAATACAAGTTTCGTAAGTCGTCTTACTAACAAAACTGAACACTGATACGATAAACTGGGGAAAAATTGAAAATAGAAAAATGTATGTCAATACTTTATACTATAACGAGAATTGTAAACATATGCTGCTATTAAAATTTTTTTGTAATTTTAATGTTGTATTGTATATGGTGTAAATGCAAAAAAAGCGATTTAATAATAAAGAGACAAAAAAAGATTATTTACTAAGACCACAGTCAAAAAACTTTTCAAACAGACTGTGTTAATTCATAAAATGTTAGTATTTTCTATTGGAAAAGAAACATGCTGTTTCAACGAATAAATAAATATACCACATTTATTTGGTCAAATTCTTATTTACCAAAAAAATATTTATTTAAAATAACGAAACAAGCACAATAAACATACCATTACTATGAGAAACTAAATGAATGATTTGAATTCAGAATCAGTTCCAATTTTAACACTAAGCTTTACCTCACAAGCAATAGCCATTTAAAAACACACACACACACACACACACACAAAAAAAAAAAAAAAAAAAAAAAAAAACCCAAGATCTGGGATAGTGTCTATCTGATAAAAAATTTTACATTTAATAACACTAAGCACACTAAAATACTAAACACACTAGAAATTCTGAGTTTTGTTTAGAAATAAAATTTTCAAATTCTAATTACAAAGGATTTCAAAAAATATTACCTGGATATCACTATTTCCATATAACCTACGTGCAAGTAATAAACCAGCCTCAATAGCAACTGGAGTAAGTTCAGGTTTTCCTTCTAAAATATCACCAATAGCATAGATATGTGGAATATTGGTCTGCTCATTCTCAACAGGCACTTTACCATTGCTATAACAAAAATAAAGTGTCATTAATTGCAATAAAAGAAACACTAGAAGACATTAAAATTATAAAAGGTTAAATACTGTATGAGGAAAACTTATAACAAAAACATCACAAACAGGAAAGACGATTAACAAAAATTAATAGAAAATAGTTAAAATCTTAGTATTATTTATTCATAATTTTTACAAAAAATGCAAATTAACATTAAAAATTAACTATAACAGATTTTCAGAAAGAATTTACAATGATTAATAATACTGGGCCTAACAAATGAACAACAAGGATACTCAAATGTTAATGATCACTAGTAAAATTGGCACTCTTTTGTTAATGGCATAGTTTCTAAACTAGTATATCAAAGTATGTCACTGTTTAGAAAACTTACACCATAAATCATAGCACACAATCATGCTCCCTCATTTTTCAATTCAGATATGCTTTTTGCATGAGATTTTGACTCGCACAAAAAATTCATACTTTCTCTTTTATGACGAATTTTACAATATAGCAAATGATAAAGAGGCTACTATAAATTCCATCAGGAATATGAAATTATCCACATTGAAAGACGGTTCAAATAACCACAAACTGAAGTTAGTGCTAATGCAGTACCAATGATCATATCCCAAGAAAAAGGTCTGACAATACCTAATTCCCATAAACAGAAAGAGTAACACACAATTCAATAACTAAAAATGAATTAATGTTTATATTGTTTAATACAGTTAGATACAACCAATTAAAAACGAAGTGAACTAAATAAAAAGTTAATACAGTCAAAAGTCGTTAATTCGGACACCCATAATCCAGAATGATCTATAATCTGGACCTCAAAGCTACAAACTTTCTGTGCATGCGTCGCGTTGACGCACACTGCGAATACGCGTGTGCCCGTGCGCAAAATACGTTTAAGAATGCGCATTTAATGTATAACGGACGGTATAAGATAAGCTAAAACTATCTAATTCAGTTAATGTTGCAGATTGCGTTGTTCCTCAATCTTCGAATTGGATTCGGCTTATTATTTTTTGCAGACTGTTAGAGAAATTTTATAAAAGTAAGCTTGAACTTTCGATTATGTCAAATAGAATTTCTGATATATATTTACTAATATGTAAAGGATCTACAAAGCGAAAGTATGTTTCAAAGTCCATTAAACAAAAAGTGGAATTGCTGCAAAAAATGGATAAAGGCATATCCTTTGTTTATCTAAACTTTGTTTATCTTTAACGCCGCGCGCAATGAATTGGAAGTTGATCTGTCAGCACTATCCTTATCTTCAGGGCAGATGTTTTTATTTTATTTGGCTTATAATTCCTTACTAAATGTAGTATTTCATCTCGATGTACTCCGTCTTTGATATGATTTAAATTAAATTCCTCGTCATTATAATTCGCTTCCGATAGCGAAGAAGTCAGTATTCTCGACACAGCAATTATAGGATTTAAACAGCGGAACTTTGTAACTGAACAAGAAATTATGTCTGCTTATAGAATTAAAGAGAATGTATTATCACATAAAAAATGAAGCAACTTAAACAACTTATATTGAAAGAAATGTTTAATAAAGTAAACAAATAAATATTAAGCTCTTTTTTTTTTTTTTTTTTTTTTTTTTTTTTTTGTAAATTTCGATACCTTTTAGATCATAATTGTTCTTTATTTCATAAATTACGGTTTCATATTTTTAATTTTATAATTTCTGCATGCCATCTTACCAGATTTAAACTGATGATCTATAATCCGGAATCGCTGAAGTCCCGACGAGTCCGGATTAACGACTTTTGGCTGTATAAGTTAAATCTTTCTTTTTAAAAAGAATCGAACAAAAAGAAAATACACAAAAATTCCCAAAAGAAGAAAAACTAAATTAAAGTATGCCTGTCTGATGGATTAAATATAAGAGACATGAACAAGTTATTAGAAATAAAGCTTTTCAGTGAAAAAATACCATGATTTTTCAATTCTAAAATGTCATCAATTTTAAGGCATACTTCTTACTTTCAGTACCAGTAACAGAAAAAAATAAAAAGACTGGCCTAACAAAATAAAGCAATTGAAATTAAATATGTCTACTAAATACCTTTTATACAATTAATTACATTTATAATTACAAGATATATTTTAAATCAGTATTTCAGAAAAATTAATTATGTCAGAATAATCAATAATATGAAAATATCTGCAATCTAAAATGCCACTGATTCCAAGACATTTCTTTTTCAATCACATTTACATGGAGAAAAAAGGTGTATATTAAAATCGAAGAAATACAATAAATTTAAAAAAATCATTTAATTGTCACTATGAGAAATTAATTTTAATTCAGCAATGCTGAAAATTATTGATACAAGAAGCTATATTTTTTAGAATTTTGAAAATCAATAGAATGTTTTATAAAAATTTATCAAAAATATGTTTTAGAAAATAAATTAAAAAACCATACAACTAGTATCTTATTTATCAATAAAGATGTCAAGCTTCAATTTAATTACACAAATCTAGCATGGTATTTAGATTATTACTTAACCCTCTCGCTGTGCATTACGCGATTTCCACGGGCAACATAAAAGTAGCAAAATTTGCGCAACCCGCGATTTCTATGGGGATGAATTTTTGCTATCTATTTAACCGCGCAACTCGCTCTTTCCCCATTCAAGGTTTCCTTTCGGCTTTTCTGTGATGTTTAATTGTTTATTTAGATGTAGTCTAACAGATGGCGTTAGTTGTCCACATTTCTGCCAAATATACAAGAATACATAATATAGTATTTTGCACGCCCTTTTCAGAGCTCAAAGATGTCTGGCAAGAGTGCTTCGCAAGTCGTATAACCTATATTCCTGACGATATTTCCGACACTGATAGTAGTTCTGACTCTGATTTAAAGTATATTGAAGATAGTTATAGCAAAACTGATGGAAAATTTGTTGGATTCCTCTGCAGATAGTAAAGAATCTGAAAATTCAGTTTCTATTGAAAACGTTCGACAGTGGTGCAAAATAGTACACTATGCAAATATTTTCATTAGTATATATGTTTTACATTTGTATTTTATAAAATAAATCATAATTTAACCAATATTAATTTTCAAAATCATTATTCTTCACTTTCAGTAGTCTGACAACCTTTTTCTATGATCTAATTCTATATTTAAAAAAAAAAAAAAAAAAAAAAAAAAAAAAAAAACTCTTTTACAAAAAAATTTTTGGATATTTTAACTTTAAAATATATGTAGATTTGAAATATGTAATAAAAAAAATATGCGATTTTTGAACCTATTTTGATACAAAAAAGTACACAGAGAGGGTTAATACACATGTGTTAATTATTCAAATTCAAAAATCAGAAAAATTAGAAACCAAAGTAATTTTAAAATAATAAAAAAGCATTTTTTAAATAATTCTAAATAACTACTTAATAACTGAGACTGCAGCCAATAATTTTTAAATATGTGGGCAGTACAAAAATAAAATGGTACAAGTAATTTTTTTACACATTTAACATCAAATTAAGGATACAAGTAAATTTTTTACACAATTAACATAAAAATAATGGTACAAGTAATTTTTTATACATCTAACATAAAAATAATACTTTAACCTGTCTTCACACAGCTGCTTATAAACAATGATATATTTTATTCTAACTCTCTGCACGACACAGCCTTTTAAAGATCTGTTTATGAATACATGCATTTAAATAGCATTTATTAACAATTATATAATCAATTATTTTAGTATCTGTTTTGACAAACTTCTATTAAGATGATATTTATACACACTATCACAAAAAATATATGCATCTAGAAGAAATACAGCCACAATCCTGAAAACTCGGCAGGAATGTAGTCTGATAAGACATATGCAAATGATTTAAATTTCAATGCCAATGAGACAAAAATAAGCATGCTATGTGTAGCTGGGAGAGTTTAAAAGTATGATTGCTTATGCCATAGGGCTATTCAAACAAATCTGCCGACTTGGATGGACAGTATTGCGATTAGACGTGGCTCTGAGGCGTAACTGGTGGCAGTATGAACAGCTGTCAGATTTTGAGAAGGGGCATATAATAGACCTTGGAGAAGTAGGTTGATCAAACTGCCATCTCGGTCAGAGCGTTACGGTAGTTGCTCAGTATTGGCAACAATGGGTCAGGGAAGGGATAGCCTACCATCGCGGAGGGTCAGGGTGCCCCAGGAATACAATCGAGCACGAGTGTCACACAATCATAAGAGAGGCCACTTTCGCAACAAAAACATTGGTAGCATCCATTTGACGCCATTTACTGCCTTCCAAGCATCTGGTGGTATAAAGGGAAACCATTTGAAGATGACTAGCCAACACTGGTAGATCCTGCATGTGTTGTCAAGCAGCATACGATGATTACACGAGGTGTGACAGTGTGAGGAACAATTTATTGGGACACACGATCTCCTCTGGTCGTCTTTCAAGGCACTATGATGCTTCACAGTTATGAGGACAACATTTTAATGCTGGCTGTACTGCCTATGATATCAAACTGCCCAGGTGCCATTTATCAGCAAAACAACGCTTGTCTACATACTGCCCGACTCTCCCAACAATGTCTTGAAGGGCATAACATACTCCAATGTCCTGCCATGTCACCAGATCTCTTGCCAAGTGAACACATTTGGGATATGCTTGGAAGGCAATTGCAACCATCTCGGAATAATGGTGAATTAACTGCCCAGTTGCAAAGATTATGGCATGATCTTTCCACAGTGGGTCATAGACAATGTACTTGATTTGATGCCACGTTTTAGCTTAAATAGCTGCCAAAGCTGACTATACTACTTACTGATTTGGGACATTTTCCATGTTATAACTTCTTAGTAAAACAATATTTTGTTCTTAATTTGTAATCATTTGTTTAACTCCTCATACACTACATACATGTTTCGAGATAATAGTTCATTTTCTTCTGTGTGCATATATATTAAAGAAACTAAGAAAGCAACATATTTTTAACCATTAACTAATATATGCAGAATGACAAAAAAAAATGTCATGATTAGATAAAGGCAGTCATAGAATTAAGAGAAAGCACTGCAATTTTTTCCAAAGCAATTATCATTTAGGCCTGTTTCAGGTACTAAAAATTTTCATGGGTTTTTGTTCACAAGTATGTTAAAGAACATTCTTCCAAGTGAAACTGAAAAAAATCAAATGCAAAAAAGTACACACTACAAATATATTTCTTTGAAGAAATAATTCAAGAAAAGTGATAAGTGATTTTTGAAAAGCATTGCTACGAATTTGATCATAGACAGATGATTTTAATGCAATTATATGTGAAATTAGTGTATTTTTTTGTGTAATGTAACGCAAAAAAATCTAAAGAGACAAACTATGCCAGAAAAGTAAAAATACAGGGGCAAGTCCATTTTACATTGAGTAAATAGCCCACCTCAGAAATTTGGCGAGATATCTACAAGCTAGCAACGGTTTTGGCAACTAATTTTTGGTTGCCAAATTCGGTGAGAAATCTCCAAACTTGACAACACTGGTCTGATCCCTGTATCATTGTAATAGGTATTGTAATTGAATAAATGCAATTGATCCCTCTATCACCTATAATTGCAATTCAACTCTCATATTGCCTTCCAGTAATTTCGAAAAACAAAAAGTGCTACAAATATCTCAACGGTCGGGTGAAAACTATATAAGGCCGGAGAAAGCATCTGCTCTCAGTAGTAGTTGTTGTTAGCTCAGCACGAGTTTGGAGTACTCAGATATTTCTGGGTAGCTTTCTCTTCAGCTGCGCTTTGCATTGCGTTGTGTATAGTAATTTGAAGTGCAATTACTGATTGTGAAGAGTTCTATGACTATTTCAAAGGTCCAGAACTGTGAAGTGTTTCTTTTCATAAAATAAATTTTACCACCTTATTATCGGACCTGTGTGCATTCAATCTACTATGAACCTGCCAATACACATGCCAATAGTATGAATATTTTATTTTCCTCCTTTCAGGCATAATTATATGACAAAGTTCAAAATTCTTAAAATATTTCTTGAAGCATGTGAAATTCACATTATTTAGTAATGAAGGAATGAAAAGAATACCCTTGTTCTCGGTTTGTGCTCACTTGTTAAAATACACCAGATAACCTAAAACTTGTTGCTTTAGAAAGTCACTTCAAGGCCTTTTTTCTTCTGGCTTGCCTCATGGCTAGGAGTGAGCTATGAAAATTTTAACAAAGTGCTCACACTTTATCTTATAAAAAAACAAAGCTTTGGATTCCAATTAAGTGTTTTACTTTTTACAAAAATAGAAAACACAAATAATTGTGCATAAAAAACATTTTAAAGTAAAAAATATCTTCAAAATTACTCCTCCCCCCCCCCAAAGTAAGTTTCAGGGTATTCCAGAAATGATATAAGAGAAAGTAAATTTAATTTACGCCAGAAGTTGCTATGCATAATTTCTTCTTTAATTTCAGCTGAACTCTTACAAAGCATTAAAACCAAATAATGATTTTTCAAAAATGTTTTTATAAAAGTTTTCATTAAATCTAACATATGCTGTAGCCAAAAAAGATCTTGTGTAGATATCATTCATCATGCTGAGATGGCATTCAGTTTTAGTGCTATTAACTGCACTGCTTTTAATTTTCTTTAAACTATTAGAAATTTCATCTAGTTTTCCTTTAAATCATTTCTTTGAAAGCTAAAACTAATTAATTTTTATTTCATGTTTTAAAATAAAATTTAATGTTGGTCAAAGTATGATCATGACATGCAAGATTTTTCTCTGACAAGTAAAACAGAACAAGGAGCTTGTAAAATAGAGACAATTTAACAAAGAGCATTCATGATCCCTACAACTCACTATTCATAACTGTGGTGAGACTGCTGCAGAAGATGCTCGAGTCCTCCAATTTTCTAATATCTCATAAAATCCCCTCTGTATGATGACGATACACGTTACAAATGGGAGAGGGCCATTATTATGTTTTAGTTACTTTAAAATAATAGATCATAATATATGCTAAATGACAATGCTTGATACTCAAAAGGAAAGTATAACATTTTCAAATAAATGGCTTATTGAAAAGAATCTTGCTTTTCCTCTACCTGTAATCCAGCAAAAGAAAATAAAATGATTATCCAAAACCACTTTTTTAAGTACAAATGAGAAAACAGCAATTCAAACTATAAAAAGTAATGAGAAATTTTAAGAATAAGAGAAGATTAGGAAAGGTTGCTGGAAAAAATTAAGAGAATTGAGACCTTTATCATTAATAAATTCAATAAATGATACCCATAAAATACTGACAAAGTAGAAATAAATTTTCACATTAAAGATCAATATTTTTATAATCAAATGATTTGGGAATACAAAACACTTTTTTTGGTCAATATAAGTTTAAAGGGAAAAAATTACTTAGGATTAACTTTAACACCAACTTTATCCAAGCCTATACGGTCCGTGCATGCATTTCGGCCAATGGCTAGGAGAACCTAAAAAGAAAAAAAAGACATTCACTTTTACTAAATATCTTGTCGAAGCCAAAAAAAAAAAAAAAAAAAAGACAGAGAGAGAGAGTGAAACTGAACAAATGAGTTAAGTACATGTAATAAAATGCTCACTATTTGGTTCCTTCCATGTTCATGCATTTTCCCTTACCTACTTGGACAAAATCTACATGTCTTACTAAAATTTGATTTTTAGATATGCAACTTGGATAGCATATAATCAGATTTCACACATTGAAGAGAATAATCTCTTTTCTAATATAATTTGGTAAGACAGAACCAAATATTACCATTAATACCATTAGAATCAAATAATAAAAACCTCTTACAAAATCATAACATAAAAACCTATTCATTACTTTATTTACAAATCACTCTAAATTCCATAATTTTAATAAATTTTGTTAACAATTAAAAAAAAATAAAATAAAAAAAAATTGCCAGTTTCCATTTTTAGGGCACTGATTTAAGCAACTGACTTACAGTATCATATTCATCTACAATTTCCTCTCCACTTTGCATACGAGCTATAACTTTTAGTTTATGAGGATGGCCAGATTCAGTTTTTTCTATCTGAAAATAAAAACTTATTTAAAATTACATAACAGACACAAATTCCACAATTCAGTTTTGGGACAAAATACTTGGATAAATTTATTCTTGAAGACAGTCATGATTTGAAATTTTGAAAATATCTCAAATCAACATAAAAATATTTATCTTAGGGTTACTGATACAACAGAAACCAATGTGTTGAACTTTGTTTATTTGTGTGTATATCATATCAGACCATTAATATAAATTAATATTTAGAGAAAATATACAAATGCATCAAAAAACACACTGAAAGTACTTATTTTCTATTTTTAATTATTAAAAGAGCATACATCAAAATATTAAAACTATTACCCATATATTAATTATACAATCCCAGCTCCATCACCAAATCTACTGAATATTTTGGGGGGGGAGGGTAGAGGAGGGAGATAAATTTATAATACATCTGCAATAAAAGGTTTTATTCTTATATTTTACAAGTCTATTATCATTAAAATTATCACTGGGCAGAAATTCATCATGAACTTTCTTGTGTATAAACACATACTATTTTTGCTCCTTTTGGGGGCAACTTTCAAATGCTTTGAAACAATCTTTTGTTAGATTGCCTAAGAAATTTGTTATTGAAAAGTTCTCCAGCAATATGTAACTGCAAAAAAAATATAGAGAAAAGCCGAATTCCAGCTTAAACTCCTAAAAAAATCATTTTTCACTTAGCATTTAATATTTTTCATTGCACAGAAATAGTTTTTTTTAAAATGCAGGTGAAGGATACATTTTCCAGAAACACTGCAATAATCTACAACTTCATATGCTATAGCATTAAAGAAAAAGTTAATAACTGAATTTAGCCAATAATTTCTAGATATAAATATAATAACCTATCAAAATGAAATTCTATACACAAGATCAGAATTTATGGGAGTGATTCAGAAACTAACCCCCATAATGCTGTAAATTAAAAAACTTGCATAGATTTAAAAAAAATTTTATTTCATCTGAAAGGTACAATTAGCTGTCTTCTATTTTTCAACACAGTCAGCATGTTTATTTAAGCACTTGTTATAGCGTTTTACCAACTTACCAATCCCTTCTGCATAAAACTCAGCCACCTGAGACTTAAACCAATTTGTTACAGTGGTTTGAAGTTTCTCATCATCAGCAAGATGCTGTGCCCCAAGCTACTTCTTTATTGCAGGGAACAGATGGTAATCAGAAGAAGCAAAGTCCAGGCTGTACGGGAGGATGTTGAAACACATCCCAGTTGAATTGGTGGAAAAGATCTTGTGTTTCCTGAGCACTGTATGAGCGAGTATTATGCAGGAACAGAACCTCAGATGTGAGCAGGCCACAATGTTTGTTCTGGATGGCTTTTTTTCACTTTTTTCAAAGTGCTATAGTACACTTCAGAATTGAATACTGTACCATGCTCTATGAATTTGCCAACCAAGATTCCATTAGAATCCCAAAACACAACCATAACCTTCCTTGGATTATAATTTAAAATAGCAATAGACCTAAATTCCCTTTCCCTTCTCTATTCTAAAAGCATTAATAATTTTTTTGCACTGCGTCATTTCTAGACCAATCCATCTCGTATGACTTGCGTAATGTTGATGACATAACTAATTCGAAACCTGAACTCAAAATTTTGAGAACTGAAACTTTTAATAAGTAACCTAAACCCAAACCTTCCCTTAGTGAGCCTCCATATCGGATTAATTGCACACTTTTGCTTCTACCTCTGTTGCTGCTAGGATGCTGTCGCCCTGCTTTCTTCCTATCACAGTATCTTAAAAAATGCAAATATTCTAGAAATAGGCATGATTCAATTGCCCAAGGAATTGTAGCCACAAATGCCAATTGAAATAAAAATGAATATTTAATCTTACTCGGCTGTCAAGTTTCCTCTTCATATGAATCTATATGTTATACCATCAATATTTCTACATCTTTTTCCTTTTCATCACACACACATATAGATAGATATATACACACACAAGCAAGCATTAAACGTCTCTCCCCAAAAAGGAATCTTAAAAAGTCATACGTGAAACCTTTTCAAAGGAAATTTCCGTACCCAGCAACAACTTGAAAATTTATCCACTTGGAACTAAATATTATTTCTAAATGAACTTTTAATACACTCGCTATGAAAAAATTGCAACAAATATAGTACTTCAGTTTTAAATCAAACTTATATTAAAGCTTAAAGAAACTACATCAGAATGACATAAAAATACTTACTTTTAAAGGAACACATGGTCGTATAAAATTTATTCCTTCAGATTTCATATATTCTCCAATTCTTTCTGCCATATCTTGATCAAATCCTCTGAGTAAAATGGATCGTACCATAATAGTTACATTTAAACCAAGTGCAAACAGAAATCCAGCACATTCTAGGGCAACATATGATGCTCCAATAACAAGTGTTTTACCAGGAGAATTTTCCAAAGAAAACAAATCATCACTACAATGTACACACAAAATAATGATTAACAAATAAATTTTTACATGACCACATAAGATAACATAGTTATAACAAATAATTTGAAATGAATTATTTTCATTAAATTAAATGTCACAATCTAAAATCCTAAAAATAGCACTTTAAAATAAAACCATCTCATAATGTTTTTTACATATTCAGTAGGAAAAAAAAAAAAAAAAAAAAAAAAAAAAAGAAGCTGAAATTTCAAGAAAAATCTAAACACTAGCTTTTCTGTATTGTTTCCTTCTATTATGAGAATAAATAACAACATCAATTTTAAGTCATAATAATGAGCATCAAGTGTTAAATCTTCATATGCAAAAAATATAACTTACTTAAGTATGTAAAAGCTTCCAAAGTTATGCTACAAATAACAATGTAACCTGCCTCTGCATTTGTAACACTATATGCCATCCTTATTTGTATTTATTTTACTTATTTATCCTCTTCTTATTATAATGTTATGCAGTCAAAAGTCGTTAATCCGGACTCGTCGGGACTTCGGCGATTCCGGATTATAGATCACCAGTTTAAATCTGGTAAGATGGCATGCAGAAATTATAAAATTAAAAATATGAAACCGTAATTCCGTTGTTCAAGTGCTATAATTGCTGTGTCGAGAATACCGACTAATTTGTCAATCAAAATTTTTTCGTTTTCAATAACTTCTGTGTCATTGTCTTCACTATCAGAAGCGAATTATAATGACGAGGAATTTGATTTAAATCATATCAAAGATGGAGTACATCGAGATGAAATACTACATTTAGTAAGAAATTATAAGCCAAATAAAATAAAAACATCTGCCCTGAATATAAGGATAGTGCTGACAGATCAACTTCCAATTCATTGCGCTCTGCGCTCTATCATTTACTGTGCGTGGAAAATTTACCTTTTGAAAAAGAATTGTTCAAAATATATGTTTACATGTTCTGAAAGAGTTACCATCTGTCTTCAAATACAAAATGAAATCTCTCTCCCCATATACATATATTAATTAATTCACTAATTAGAACTAAAAAAAGAAAAGCGTCAATTGAAAAGCTTAAAAGGAGAAATTATTATAAAATTATTCATTATATTAAGATTAGATAGCAATACTTTTCATCATATGTTTTCTATATAATTGAAAACAGGGACAATAATGCCTATTTTTTGCTCAAAGTGTCAAATAAACCCATTAGATAATAAAAGCTAAAACTTTTGAGCAAAATGAATGATTATGGTTGGATAAAAGATTAAAACCAAATGACAGTAAGACAAAATACTAATATACTAAATTATATATATATTTTTATTATTAGTATACTTTTATTTTTTTATTAGTATATCAGTACATTTTACACCAAAAGGATATCAAAAGTTGTGCTATAGTACTTTTATTCTTGCTAATAAATTACCTTGTAATGCAGTATTCTTTAGCACCTTCAATATCAGGATACCTTGGCCTTTCACCAGTAGCAATGATAAAATCCTTGGCAGTTAAGAGAGATTCTTTGCCTTTCTTATCAATGGTCTATTAAAAAGTGAAAGCAGAGAATTTATTTGCATAATTGCTAAACAGAACTGAGCAAATATGCATTTTACAATGAATTATAACAAAAAAAGGTACTTTTCCGTTTCGCTGGCGCAAATCTTGCCAAGCAGACTTTATTGGTTACAACATACAGTATACACATAAAAAATATTAAAAAAATTTTAGTTCTAAGAATTCTTTTTTTGAAGGCATAAACATTTTAATATCGCTTAAAACTTTATAAAAAGACAATAAATAAAGACAATAAATTTGTAAAAAGACATTAATTTAAGAATTTACTATGCTTTCACGGTTCAACATCCTAAGTCTCCGGTTCATATCATGTGACCCCAAACGATCTCATCTCACGTAAACTACTCTACAAAAATCTAATGCTCTCAGTAATTATCTACATTAATTTCAAGTTAAATCTTAATTTGGAACACAAGTTTAAATGCAAGAAATATTTCAATGCGTACGAATAGCTTACTCAGAAATTATGTAAACTGCAGTGCTTTTACTTCACTAATGCATTCTCATTAGAATTGATGAATTTAATCCTTGACTTTCCTTTTCTATATTTTCGGCTTCGGGTAAGAGCTGTGATTGCATCCTAATTGACCTAATTACCGAAAATGGCCTTAGACACAAAACTGATATATCTGATAAAAATTCTATGTAATTATATGCCAGTATTGAAAGAAACAATCAATCTGATAAGAAAAAGCTGCGACTTGTTTTGAAAATGAGGCGTAAAAGGTTACCAGCGAGAATATTCGTTTGGCATCCGTTGTACCATTATTGGCGACTTTATCGCTTGCGCCGGCAAAACGGAAAAGTACCCAAAAAAATTCCTTACTTTTTATTGAATTTTGAAAGTTTAAAAAAACCATAGAGAATTCAATTTTTTTAAAATAAAATACCTTTAACTGAACTCATTTACTTAGTGAACTATCAATAAAAATCAATAAGTTTGTATGATATTTTTAAGAATTTATTTTGGATACTTTATACTCATTGGAAGTATTATGGAAAATACATTTGTGATATATTAACCATTTGACTGCTAAGCAATTCTTTCTTGCAAGAATGCATGAAAACTGCGCGACATATTTTGACTTGATGTTGTCAAATAATGCCGCTGAAATACGGTATTTGCATATTTGACAAGCATATCAACCTGCCACATGGGTCATAATTCGGGTTGCCTGGTTCAAATAATAATGTATTGTCAATCTAGTGAAAAATCAGTTGAAAACTATCCCTTGAAAACATTGTCCTAAACCATGGTATATATTTATCCAATAACTATCAATTGTTGGCCTTCTCGTAATCCCCATTTTGAGCAAGACTGCAATAAAGGCTTTTATTTCGTATATTGTTGTCGGCGTCCACTTTTTTGCTCGAGAATTATTCGAAACAGTGTACGAGGCAAAAAATTGGGTAGCAAATTGATTTGTTTCTCTTACGATGGTTTCAAGCAATTATGTGGTAAAAAATAAATTGAAATATGTTATGGGTGTAGCATCGGCGAGAGGCGCACATCTAGGTCCAGGAGTCTCGAAAAAATTATTTGTTGCTTTGGAAAACACATTTGTCAGAGGAATATTCTTAAAAGTTGGTGTTTCTTCTGTTTCTGAAGATGAGATAGAAGACTCACTTTCAATCTTCATTCTTTTTCACTACTTGTGTCTGTTCTTTCACCCTCCTCAGAATCACTAGCAATTGAATCAACGTCCGAAATAATAGCCCATGACATGGTTATTTTTTAATAATAATATATAAAAACGGTAAAAAGTTATTTTAGAATGCATCCGTGTTACAAAGTGTGCGTGAGGTCAGACTACGTTCACACCCACGGAGCAACAAAGACACACTGAAAGTCGCATTTTCGAGACAAATAAAGCAGCACTTTTGCACCACATAACAGTCAAATGGTTACTAACCAAAACAGTTCCTGTGAAGATTTGGCACTAACATATTTGGCTCGCTAACACATATTACGTAAGTTAATATATACTGTGAACCAATACACATTTCCGTAAGTTATTAGTATGTTATGTACATTATCAAGACACAGCCAATTACTAAAAGACAGAAATGTTCTTGATAACTCAGGGAGCAAGAGCAAGTTACACTATAATTAGTAAAAATGAATACTAGATACTAATTAACTACTTTTGACATTCATTTTCCCAATTTAATAATACAACACAGTAAAAATTATCACACTGATTTGTGCTTATAAAAATAATAAAATAGATTTTATTTCAAAATTAATCTAAATCTTGAAATACCAAAACAAAGCTTAATCTATTTTCACTGTATAATTTTCATTACATACAGCATATAAGTAAAAAAGAAAAAAAGTTCTTACAGGTACATCTTTTATGGTTCAAAATTAGAACAATTAAAAATCTAGTTTTTGTTTTTACACCCATCCCAAAACAGCTTCTCTTATTTCAAAATATATTTCATTGTTCATGTTTATATATCTTAAATGAAAAATCTCACAAAAAGTAAATGGGATAAAACTGAGTATATTATTTCAGCAATTAAACCAAATAAATCACAATAAAAATTGGGATGATTAAAATCAAGGATCATTTTAATTTGTAATTTCATGTAATACAAGTCAAGTTTAATTTTCACAAAAATAAATTACACTGGTTTATTTTTAAAGCCATTATCACAAAGGTAAAATTATCACAGTTTTTATATTTGCTTATTATGTTATCTCAAATTTAAGCATGAAATTATGAAGTAAGCATATTACATTTAGAGATTTATATTCAGAAAAAAATAAAACTGACACTAAGTTAATGATTAAAAATATGCAAAGTGATCATATATGAAAACAGAAAAAACTTCCAAGCAAATTTATTACTCAAATAATGTATGCAGTAAAATTTTTATGTAAATCTCTATATACAAACCTATATGAAATTTTACTATCTTAGCTAAGACAGGCCATCAAATTTTGCCTCTTTTTTCATGCAATAAAATTACTATCTTCATCGTGGTATCTTTATGTAAATGAGTTTTCTTTTAATAAAAATGCCTGTTCTTTTACATCGATAGTAATGAATCAGAACACTATTAGAAGTTATGCTCCAAAGAAGCAATAATTACAATATCTTCTTAAATGGGATAACGGTTAAATTTCATTCTGAAAAGTAGAACCTGTATTACTAGTTTGGTGCTTTACATTTTTGTAGTAAACATATAATCTGGAAGCAAAATGAATTATACAAAAGGCAACACCTATGAAATATGTTTTTAAAATATGCAATGCAGAAATAACGACATATTATTCCTACTTCTTATTCTTCTATATTCTTTTAATTCATCTCACAAAATAATATAAAATACATCCTGCATAATTCTCCCCTCTCAATTTTCATGTGGTTAAAGTTAGCAAAAATAAATTAGGGACAAAAATGTAAACAAGCTATATATATAGTCAATATTTATGTAATAAAATATTTTATAACTAAATATTGAACTGTATGAATTTAGAGCATTTAACCAACATGTATATAATCAAAAAATAGTAAATACAATTTATTTTTCAACATGATTTAACAGCTAATTAAAAATTTGTATTAATGAATACAATGCTTTACATGAAATAAAAATGAACCTATAAAAATGTTACATATAAGTCAATAACCCCCAAGTTAAATGAGGTCATAAAAGCACTAAGTATAAAAAGTTTGAAAAATACAGCTTTATATCAAAATTTATTCAATTTTTTATCCAATATTAATACACCAAAATCAGTTTCCACTTACCTTTACTTGATGATGGTCTACAAATTCTCCATAAGCATTAATATATTTTACTTGTTGAGTTCTAAGCTGAACTTTGTAGTTCCAGTTTAATGATCCTATATAATTTTGAATATTTTCTCGCATAACCACCCAATTATGCTGAACTATTAGAAACAGAAAAAACAAATTTTTCAAAATTAATTTTCATAAGTGTTATCTTTTACATATCAGATTTTCTATTAATTAATTTGATACACATTAAATATCCCATTAATAGTTTTAAATTAGCTGAAATCTGTAAATTAAAATCTGTAAATTATTTCTTCATTTAAACATTCAGAAGTTCACTGTAAAGGAATATTATGTATCGCTACAATTTCCCAGAAAATCTATCAAGAAGAAAACCGCTACCTTATAAAAATACTCCACTTAAAAAAAATGGGGAGAGAAGGGAAGGAAGAAGACTAGATCATTAAACTATAGAAATGCATGCCAGAGACAATTGCACAACAGGAGGAATGCCTTCATGAGAAATTTCCAAAAATAACCAGCTCATAAATACATAACATGAGAGTTACATTAAGAAAAAAGGAGGAAAAAAGGCAGGCATCCTATTCAATAACTGAGGATACATATGTATTTATTGCAAATATCTTGGCAGAAGTTGACAAAATTTTCAGAAAGGGATAAACTCTTACAACTCTGTATAACCCTTCTTCATACAATCATGTTCATAACACTCCTTCAGTCAAACAACATTACCCTTTCCGTATGTGTTCTTTTTGTTGCATTCAAACTTCCAACTGTTTTTAAAGACAAATTGTGATATTTTTGCTTTAAATTTAATTTTTAAACACAGCAACTTCCATGTTACCAATGGAAGAAACTGTGGTAGGACTTTTATATGAATACAACATTTTGCTGTGAAATCTCTAAAAGAAACTATGATCAAGCCAGTATGCAATTTATGATACTGATATGTACTCTGATGATTTTTACTCAGAAAGAAACAGATTGCTGTGTACATGGGGAGAAAAGCACCAGAAATTAGAGGAGAATTTAGTAAAAAACTGTGTTATTGCATGTATCATATCATATCTTATATGCAAGTACTTATCATCAATCCAAGTGTAAACTATCACTGTTTCATGATTTTAGCTGATCAGGCACTGCTGACCAATTAAATGAAGAAACTTAGCAATATTAAAAAAAATCTGATGTGTACACCACATGAATTCCTTATACGGAATAGTAAATTATACACATTTTTTCTTGCATTTCATTTAAACTTATTGGATTGAATTTAATCTACTTTGTCAATAGCACATAAACCACAATAGAATAAATGCACTTTTAAAATTCACTATATTTGTTTACCATAGCGACACTCTGGCGCTAGATTCACTTAACAGTATTATATTTCGTTCATATTATAACTCAGAATGCACAAAATTTATATCATTTAAAGAATAGAATTATCTAACCATTGCCACATGTTCTATTCAAATACTATAATAAAGCTAAAATGATGTATAAAAGAAATTAAGCAAACAAAACAAAAAAGAAACAGTTTTTCACAAATGATTGAGTATTTCTCATTCAATTAATTCAGTTCTCACGAAAAATACATAAAAACTCAAAATCTATATTAAAAATTACAAAGTAAATCTTAAACATTTATTTCCTCAAAAAAATTCCAGAAAGGATTAAGCATGATTTAATTTGCAATAATAAAAGAAGGCATCTTTGTTGTTGTGAAGCCTAGTCTCTCTAGATTGGCAACAAATCTACTACAGTCAAAAGTCGTTAATTCGGACACCCATAATCTGGAATGATCTATAATCCGGACCTCAAAGCTACAAACTTTCTGCGCATGCATTGCGTTGACGCATGCGCGTAAGACCTTTATGGTTGCGAATATGCATGTGCGCAAAATACGTTTACGAATGCACGTTTAATGTATAACGAACAGTATAAGCTAAAATTACCTAATTATCTATTTCAGTTAATGCTGCAGATTGCGTTGTTCCTTAATCTTCGAATTGGATCCGGCTTATTATTTTTTGCAGACTGTTAGAGCAATTTTATGAAAGTAAGCTTGAACTTTCGATTATGTCAAATAGAATTCTGATATATATTTACTAATATGTAAAAGATCTACAAAGCGAAAGTATGTTTCGAAGTCTATTAAACAAAAAGTGGAATTGCTGCAAAAAATGGATAAAGGCAAATCCTTTGTTTATCTAAACTATAACGTTTGTTTATCTAAACTTTGTTTATCTTTAACGCTGCGGCGGGGGCGCAATGAATTGGAAGTTGATCTGTCAAGCACTATCCTTATCGTCAGAGCAGATGTTTTTATTTTATTTGACTTATAATTCCTTACTAATGTAGTATTTCATCTCGATGTACTCCGTCTTTGATATGATTTAAATCAAATTCCTCGTCATTATAATTCGCTTCCGATAGTGAAAAAAGTGACAGAGGTTATTGAAAACGAAAAAATTTCGATTGACAAATTAGTCGGTAGACACAGCAATTATAGGACATGAACAGCGGAACTTTGTAACTGAACAAGAAATTGTCTGTTTATAGAATTAAAGAGAATGTATTATCACATAAAAACGAAGCAACTTAAACAACTTACATTGAAAGAAATGTTTAATAAAGTAAACAAATAAATATTAAGCTTTTTTTTTTTGTAAACTTTGATACCCTTTGGATCATAATTGTTCTTTATTTCATAAATTACGGTTTCATATTTTTAATTTTATAATTTCTGCATGCCATCTTACCAGATTTAAACTGATGATAATCTGGAATCACCGAAGTCCAGACTAGTCCGGATTAACGACTTTTGAGTGTATTCTCTTTAAAATGTAAACAAATATGTCCGCCATGTTATTTAAAAATTAGACTCATCTGCACTTAAACAGCTTTTAAATTGTTGATAATTGTACAAATATTGCTTGTGAATTTACTAAAGGCATAAAAACCTTAACCGGAAGATAAAAACAACATAATTCAATCATTTTTAAAGCAAAAAATGCACAATTTACAAACATATAACATATAAAAGAAACTGAGATCACCAAGTCGGGTAACGAAGTAGATATATACGAGGGTTGGAACTTTAATAGTGGCAACTATTTATTTACAAGGAATACAAAAGTTAATCATGTCACCATGTTTTACAGTCCTTCAATATAGTCGCCAGCATTGTGTACAACCCGTTTCCAACAATGTGAAAGTTGAAGAATATCCGTAGCAGCGCCTGTTTTGTTGATAGTTTGAATGGACCGGTCTACTGCCGCAAGAATCTCAGGAACAGTTTGGAAGCGAGTGCCATGAAGTGGTTCCTTCATCTTAGGAACTAAGTCATAGTCACAAGGGCTTAGATCTGGGGAGTATGGTGGATGGTAAAGCACTTGCCAGCCCCATTGCTTGAACAAATCAGTCACAGCTTGTGCTGCATGCGGCCGAGCATAGCAATGCAAAATAAGAGGAGCGTTCTGCAGAAAGTGTCGCCGTTTTTTTCTCAGAGCTGGTCGGAGATTGTGCTCCAAAAATGAGCAGTAATACTGCACAGTGACGGTCTGCTGTGGGGGAACGGTATGCGTTAGGATGACACCATCACAGTCGTGCATGAGAATCGCCATAACTTTCACATTGCTGGGGTTCTGACAAAATTTTGAACGTCATGGTGACCTGTGATGATGCCATCCATTTGATTGGTGTTTCAGTTCTGGCTGGTACGATCGGGCCCAAGTCTCATCCACCATAATGATACGGCATAAAAAAGCATCTCCTTCATGCTCATAGCACTCTAGGCGGGTTCGGGCAGCATCGTATCGTAGCCATTTCTGCATTTCCGTAAACTGATGTCGAACCCATCGTGAAGCAATTTTTCTCATGGACAGGCGTTCCTTCAGAATGTGCAGCACAGTCGTATGCGCTAATCCTGTTTGTCCGGCCAGCTAACGAATCGCTTGGCGGCGATCACTGTCCATTAGTGTGGCAACAGCTTGCCACGTCTGCATCGCTGACACTCGGACGACCTGGCCGAAGCATGTCTGCTACGTTTTGGCGTCCTTCATTGAATGCTTTTACCCATCTTGCTATGAATCTGTAAGGCAATGCAGATTCCCCACAAGCCTCTTGAAGCCCTTGATGACACTGTCGTGCTGTACGACCTCTGGCACATTCAATTTTTATCCAACATCGTTGTTCTTGTTTTGAAAACATCCTGACAACACTTACTTTAGACCGCGAGCTAATACAAGGATCCCGTTCTTCACGCCACTCCGCACGCGCGTGACGTAGGCAGGACGAGTCTTTTTGCTGAGAGGTAAGGTAGGTATGTAGTTTACGTGTGGTATATGCGATATTCTTTGGTTTTGTTGCGTAGCGTTTTTTCAGCTGTGTTGCCACTATTTAAGTTCCAACCCTCATATATATAAATATATTTTAAAGTAAAAAGAACAAACGATAAAAGACCTATAGAATGAATTTTTCTTTCATTGTTGGAGATTTGTTTATATGTTTTATGTTGCTGATACAGTTGAAGAAAGTATTTTAAACATGAATGCATTATTATGTGTTGAAAATGAGATGCTTGAGACTGTGAACGATTTGAAAAAACTATTCGAGTGATGGATATTTTTGTATTTGTGATATTAAATCTCTTTGTGTGTTGTAAATCATTTCCTATTACATTCATATCTTGTACAGTGCATCGTGTGTTCAGCTGATTGCAACCAAAATACGAGGTGCACACCTACATGTTATAGCAGTCCTATATACAAAATTTCAATGTTCTGAGGCTACTCGTTTTTGAGTTATGTGAGATACATACGTACAGACGCCACAAAAAATTATCTTTAGAATTCTTTTCATAGCAGTTATATATATATATTTGGAGGAAAAGAGTCTTTTATTATGACCTCACATACAGATGTCACGCAAAAACATCGTTAAATTGCGTTCAATAGCAGTCAAAATGGATATGTTCATTGAAATATGCTGCCTGAAAATTTTCGAGATTACAGTACTTCCTTTTTATTTCATACAAGGAAGTAAAAAGAGATCTGAATGCATATGTTTGCAATGAAAGAACTGAAATTACCTTTGATAACTCAAATCGTATAACATTATAATTAAAATCTTGCGATGTTATAAATAATTTTAGTAATTCAGATTCATAATAATTTTTATCCTCTGCCTGCTGATCTCTAATTTTTTGCAAGCTATGATTATATGGCTTTGTTTGTTCACTTTATCTTTTCCCCATTCAGACAACAATGAAGCCTTGCATACATTTCTGACTTTTACTACTAAATTTTGCTTAACAGATGGCAAGACACTACTTAAGTAAATAAACAAAAAAGGAAGGAATTTGAATTTTCAGTTTTTGCTATATTACTGATCTGTTAATTGTTATTTTACTATTTTATTGTTATTTAGGTGATACGTTTACTGGTACATATACCTGTTTTTATTACTTATATTTGTTATACTTTACCCTCATTTTGTATTATAGCATCCGAAGCCTTTTTACATTTTTAAAGTCATTCTTCTAAAAGGGGAAAAAGAGAGCACTATGCATATTTATTCTCAAATGCACATTTCTAATAAATAGGTGATAAAAATATGCACATTATTCAGCAAAAATTTGATTTACCTCCATGGATAATTTTCTTCCTCCAAAATATATTAAATATTTTTTTTTAAAAATTTCTGCTTATATTTTTGATAGTAATAAAATATTGCTGTATTTTAGTTAAGAAAAGTGCAAAAAAATCGAAAATCCATGAAGGAAGTGGTTGTTTTTGATGAAATTGAATATATGTATAGCTCATACACAGACAATAAAATGATTCATATCAAGGTTATAGTACCTGTTTACGGCTCACAATCACCCATTGAGTGTTCAAATTAGTAGTTGGTCAAAAAGCCTCTGGCGGCAATGCAAGCCTGATTTCGTTGAGGCAAGGAGTGGTAAGAGGTTCCTAATGTCATCCTGCGACACATTCTGCCCAGGCAGTCATCAGTTCGTATCTCCAGATCTGCAATATTTTGTGGTGCCCGAATCTGGCGACCTACTATGTCCCAGACATGCTTGATTGGTGAAAGGTAAGTGACTTTGTTGGCCAAGGAATAGTATCAACTGCACAGAGACAGTACAGAGATATGCGAGCAGTATGTGGCCTGGCATTAGCTTGTTGGAAAATGGCCCCAGGATGATGTGCCATGAAGGGCAATGCAACCGTTCGCAGGATGGCATAAAAATATCATTGAGCTGTTAAAGATGTATGGAGGATGACTAAATTTCACCTGCTGTCATAAAAAATAGCACCCCACACCATCACACCAGGGGTTATGGCTGTATGCCTTTGTAAAACAAAGGCTGATTAGGACCGCTGGCCCCGTCCTCTCCAGAACGAAGAGGGTGGCCATCTGCTTCAAGAGTGAAGCAGGATTCATCGCTGAACACCATATGATGTCAGTCTGATGGCAGCCATGATGATTGGCTGCGACACCACTCCAGACGACTCTGTCGATGTTGCAAGGCAAACATCTTAAAGGCCTCTGTGAGCGTAAATCCGCCTCTGACAAGCGCCATGAGATGGTGGACGGTACCATGGGAGGTCTAGATGTGGCTGCAGTGCATTGAATAGTCGATAACGATGCCATGCCTGGCGAACAATCATTCTATCTTGCTTTGCATTTGTGCTCCTTGGCCTTCCTAAGCCTTCATTTCGTCGGCAATCTGCTTGTAGCAATCTGTCAACATGTTTGCACAGCAGTGTCTGTACGCTGCAGGTAGCAGCCTATTGCTCAGTAAGACCATCCAGCTTCACGCAACCCTACGATGCGACCGCGTTTGGAGTTGTTAAGTCGTCTGTAAGGTCTTCGATATCTTCGTAATGGCATCCTTAGTTGCTTCTTTACGGAATTACAATGGCAGCAACAAAAGAAGATAAATTTTCTGACTCTGTTACTGGTTTTATACTTTGCGAACTGCACACTAGCAATGCACGCTATGATCCCAATTCCTGTTCATTTGCCTTGAAACTTTGATCATTTGCATGTTCAATCAAGATGTTTTTGCATACCAAATTTCATTGTGATTGCAGAAGTTCTTCTTGGTGCTTCGATATTTTTGCAAAAGAGAGTATTTAAGAAAAGCTTACTTAGCAAGCATGAAAGAAGCTAAATACTGTGCTCTAAAAAAATATTGGATGAATGTTAATTTATAAACAACAGCAGCAAAGAACACAGATCATTTATTAACACACTCAATGGGTGATTATTTTTAATGAACACAGATCATTACAGAATCTCAATATTTAAAAATAAAATAAACAAAATTTAAAAATAAAAAGAAACAAGCAACTACCAAGCCTTTGACAAAGAAAAAAAAAAAAAAAAAAAAAAAGAGTAAAAAAGTATTCTTTTAAGAATGATTTCTATATGCAGTAAGAAACACTTACCAGCACCTGTAATATTCCAACCAAATTTTTCGGAATCTTTTATAGCCTGACCTGGATTAAAAGGATGAAATATTAAATCATAAGTAAATAGTATTGTATGAAATTGTAAAAACAAATTTCAAACAAAATTTCACTACAGTGGTATTAGAATATCTCTAGTGAAGAACCTACCTAACAATGCAGCTTGATGCATTAACTTTTTAGGAATACAACCAACATTTACACATGTTCCTCCAAGGCCTAAAATATTAAATACATTTTTAATAACAAAGATTTTAACTTTTAATTCAAAAACTAAAGCAAAAGATAGAAATTCTAACCCCAGGTAGTTCCAAGAGGAGTAGGTATGACAAAATCTAGGACAGCAACTTTTTTCCCAAGCCTAGCTGCTTCCTAGGTAATTAGAGAATAAAGAATTATTTAAGAAAAAGTAAATAATAAAAAAGTATTAATTAAATTACTATAATGGATTTTCTGAAATATTAAAAAAATATGCATGTGCAAATTCTTACTTTTGATGCAGACAGTCCACCAGATCCACCTCCAATGACTATCAAGTCATAATCATATTTTTCATTTGTAATGCAAAGCATTTCTTGAAGTTTTCCACTACTGTGTGCTGCCATTGTATTATCACAACCACCAATATGCTGCCCATCAATAAATACTTGTGGGACAGTAGATCGTCCAGCTTTGGCAGCCATTGCTTGTTGCATCTGAAGGCCATTTTCTAAGAAAAAGAAAAAATTTGTACCAAACTGTCATATATGTATGAATCACATTTACTCCAAAGCAGACTGTTTACATGAACAACTTGTTTGTAATCTCACATTTTATTCAGTAGGTCACATTTTAATATCTCGAGAAAAATTCAAGCAATCACATTTACATAGATAAAAGTTTGCATATTAGAGAACTAATAATAAGACTTGGCAATTAAACACATAATACTCATAAATCTTAAACACAAAAGTAAAAAGTATTAACTCCACAGACAGCCTGTATAAATTTATTTATACAATTAATTAACTTAAAATAGTTTTAAAATTTTCTGAAATATTTTAAAATATAAATTCTATATTATAATTGAGATTTTAAAACTTCATAACCAGTTTATAACTTTCACAGCTTTAAACTATTTCACACTCAACTTTAAACTATTTCACACTGCAAAAAAAGCTAGATTTTTCATTACAGCAAAAATTTTTGAAAAATAAACCTATCCTTATTTTTTAAAAAATATGCAATAAAATTAAGTAGTATAAACCTTGTACATCAATGGCACAACACTGCGGCAAAAATTTAGGCATCTTTGAAAGACATGGTTATCACCATAGCAACATCATGCTAAATCTAGGCCAAGGATGGAGATCAATAATACAGCAAGAATACTGGTCAATAACCTAGAAAGTTTAAACTAAGCATTTTCATAGCTAGATATTTCTTTTCTTTTTATGTATCACAAATTTTATTGTAATGGGAAAAAATTTATGTATAAAACAAGATATGAAAAATGAATTATATAGCATTTATATTAATTGTAATAATGTTTTAATGTTTAATCATAAATTACTTTAATATAATACACATTATCACACACATTTTCAAAAAATAGTATAAAATGTTACATATTCATTCTGAATACAGTCTAAAATGTTACATAATCAGTTTGAATGTTTATTTTGAAATTATCAATTAAAAAGTCTCATAATTCAAATTTAGATGTGATAATATTCAAATTCTATAAAAAATTTAAATCCATTAAATTACTTTATTTTACTCCACTACCTGAAAAAAAATTTCTTCCCCCTCCTTTTTTTAAATATATACTTAAAGAAAAATATCATTCAACCTTCATCTGATGAAGAGTCTGCTCCACTGTAATTCACTTTTTATTTGTTATTATTTCCAATGCAATTGTCTTTGAATGCAGTCATCTTCACTATCTTCCTAGCTCCAAGAATACCACAGTAATAATTATTTCATCAACTACACAAATTATTTAATGTAACTCATATAGTATAACACAGTTTGGCATCTTGTACTATGAAATTTCATTTTTAAAACACAAGTAGTTTATTAAAGTCCATTAGCATAGTTGGCCCAACTTTGAAGCAACTCTTCAACTCTGGATGAAGGAAACAGAGAACATGTGCAAAATAGTTAATGATAAATATAGAAATAGATAATAAAATAAAATCAAAATTTGGGCTTCTAAGTAGCCATGTTCTGTTGAAGGTCTATGTTATTCAAATTTTGACGACTCTTGGTACTGTTGTTTTTTCACAATGCGAGAAACGTTCATGCAGATTTTTCATTATTTCATTTCTTTATATATAATACATGGAGATAATATTTGGTGGCAACAGTTTGAAAAAAGAACCAACGCAGAAAGTGAAACGACGCAAAATGTAATTTTGAGGGTCTAATGCCCATTTGGGCTAAATAACGGAAAAGTCAAGGTAGAAATCATGTACTTCAGACAAAATTACAACAAATATATGGCACATGCAAAAATGAACGATGAATACACAGAGGCTATTCTCACACTTTTTAGACAATTTTCGATGCAATTATAGAAATATTTCACTTTAAATTTTTGTATTTTAAATGTTCTACTTGATAACCCTTATCCATCACTATCTTTCCATATTGTAATTTCAAAACAATAAAGATTTTTGTAGTATCGAAAGATGTACTTTTATCTCATTCCTCTTGAACAACTTTCCAAAGTCGAAGTAAGTAACCTTTTCATGATGTCTCTTTCTTGAGACCAATCATGTGTTTATTTTGCTTAATGATTAACCCAGCTCTGATTACAATGAAAGTCATACTATACCATAATGCTGGCTTTCACTAATTTTTATACGAGGGCTATCCAGAAAGTAGATTACGTTTTGGAATAAAAAAATAAACAAAGTATAGGAAACAAATTTTATTATATACAGATGAAAGCCACACTCAAATACTACTTTTCTACATAGTCACCATACAAATTAAGGCATTTATCGTAGCGATGTACGAGCTTGGAAATTCCTTCGTCGAAAATTCGGCCGCCTGCGCCTTCAAACCACTTCGTTACCCTCTTCTTGCAGCTGTGCGTCGTCATCAAAACGCTGCATAGCCAGCCACTTCTTCATTGCTGGGAATAGGTGGAAGTCGCTCGGTGCCAGGTCGGGACTGTACGGCGGATGAGGAAACAAACTCCCACTTAAAAGATTCAAGAAAACTTACGAGTGACATTTGCCATGTGGGGCCGGGCGTTGTCATGAATCAACAAGATCTTAGAGCTCAACATTCCTCTGCGCTTGTTTTGAATTGCTCTTCTGAGTTTTTGGAGAGTTTGGCAATACCTTTGAGAGTTTATTGTAGTGCCCTCTTTCCAGGAAGTCCACCAAAATTACACCTTTTCTGTCCCAAAAAACAGTCGCCATCATCTTCCTTGCCGACATTGTTTGCACGCATTTCTTGGGTTTTTGGGGAGAACTTGTGTGCCCCCACTGCATTGATTGCATGAATGTGTCCCCATACACTTCACGAAGCTGCCGATAGATTTCTATCGGTTTACAGTTTTTTGCAGTCAGAAACCTTATTACTGAGCGCACCTCGCAGCTCGCGGGATTTTCAATTAACGCAGACATTTCAAACCGTCACAGTATCTGAACGGAGCACAGCACGAACCTCTCACTAGCACGGCTAGATGCAGACTGAGCTGCGCAATGCTCTGACCCCAAGATGGCCGCGCTAGCCCCGCCCCTAGCGGACACAGACGGAAACGTAATCTACTTCCTGGATGGCCCTCGTATTGCATGGGATGCCATGAAACATGCCACAATAATCAACTGCTTTCACCATGCCAGATTCATTCTTCCTTTTGTGGATTGCACGAATACGGGTAGAGTAGGTACCCCTTGTATTATGGCGAAATTGTTGTTTGATTTATCGCCAAGTTGTTGTTTCATTTATGGTAACCTAAGTAGTTGAATGTTATGGAAACCCTATTGTGAAGTAATCGGGTGCATGATTCTGGGAAATTTTGAATAATGGGATGTTTTGTAAGCGTTTTTGTGGTGTGTGTTAAAACCGTTTAGATGGATTTGTAGGAAGAAAGGTTCAGATGGTCACTATGTGAAGCGTTCGATCAGAAAGAGTACCTGGTTTGAAAAAATTCATTTGAGTAAGATTGATATTTTGATTTTTACGTGGCTCTGGTTTACGAAGCGAACTCGAAAATCATGGTAAGTGAAATATTTGCTTTTGGTATTGCTTAAATGCATAACATGTTTTGGTACTTTTCCATTTTGCTGGCGCAAGCGATAAAGTCTCGCCAATAATGGTACAATCGATGCCAAACGGAATATTATCGCTGGTAACCTTTTACGTCTTATTTTCAAAACAAGTCGCAGCTTTTTCTTATCAGATTGATTGTTTCTTTCAATACTGGCATATAATTACATAGAATTTTTATCAGATAGCTCAGTTTTATGTCTAAGGCCATTTTCGGTAATTAGGTCAATTAGGATGCAATCGCAGCTCTTACCCGACACCGAAAATATAGAAAAGGAAAGTCAAGGATTAAATTCATCAATTCTAATGAGAATGCATTAGTGAAGTAAAAGCACTGCAGTTTTACATAATTTCTGAGTAAGCTATTCGTACGCATTGAAATATTTCTTGCATTTAAACTTGTGTTCCAAATTAAGATTTAACTTGAAATTAATGTAGATAATTACTGAGAGCATTAGATTTTTGTAGAGTAGTTTACGTGAGATGAGATCGCTTGGAGTCACGTGATATGAACCGGCGAATTAGGATGTTGAACCATGAAAGCATAGTAAATTCTTAAATTAATGTCTTTGTACAAATTTATTGTCTTTATTTATTGGCTTTTTATAAAGTTTTAAGCGATATTAAAATGTTTATGCCTTCAAAAAAAAATTCTTAGAACTAAAATTTTTTATGTGTATACTGTATGTTGTCGCCAATAAAGTCTGCTTGGCGAGATTTGCGCCGGCGAAACGGAAAAGTACCCATGTTTTTTCTTTTTTATGTTATTTTATTGTTTGGTTTAAACTGCATTTTATTGAGATTATGTATTTTTTGTTTGCCTATATTGTAGTCTTTGATGCTCCTTTGAATTTTTAAGTGAAAATATATCGATGTGTACATGGACAAAGTAAAGGGAGTGTGCAATGCAAGTTTGTGCAATTCTGGGATTTTTTTTTTAAGTGAAAATAGGTCGACGTGTACATGGATAAAGTTAAAAGAGTGCGCAATGCCATTTTTGTGCAATTCGAAGTTTTTTTTTTTTTAAGTGAAAATAAGTCTATGTGTACATGGATACTGAGTTTGAGCAATTGTTTGTCTTGTTATTTTGGCTTTGTGTAGCGATGATTTTTGGCCCAAAAATCACTGCTTCGCAAGCCAAAATAACGAGTCAAAGAATTGCACAAAATTGGTATCCGTGTACCGCCAAAAATCGCCAAGGGGTACCTTATGCTATACTTTTACCTACAAATACAGAAAATGAAACTAAGGAGACAATATAATTCCTCACTTCTGCAAAAAATTAAATAGAATTTCACTGTTGCAACTTGCATTTCAACTGATAACAATGTGGAAATCTGCAAGCTGTTAAATAATAAGTAAATAAAACTATTCATAAAATGTACAATAAGAAAAAAGAATCCAGTGCTAAAGAATGAGTCTATCTTCTAAAGCATGTTAGTACGGACATAAAAGTGAGTTACACAGTTTAACTGGGTATTTGCATAGACTCATTCTTATGTAGACTTTCTCAGAAAAGAACTACAACGCCTGTTACAAATTTAAAACCCGACTTAAATTTTTAATATGTGTAAACAGACAACTACTGATAGTTCCCTGATGGTAATTTGTACATTTATACAATTATTTAAAATGAAAATGCAATACAAGTAAAAAAAAGAATACTGTTGTTTTTCAGTTTTCAATCCTTTTCTCACACTTTAATTTTCTAGAATACTTACAATTTTTAAAAAAATTCTACAAATTCTAAATAATTCAAATTAACTTAGTAACTGTTTATAATTAAATTACACTTAAAGATATGATTATATATGTTAAAAAATACCAAAAAATTATAAAAAATCTATAACTTTGTTTTTTTTTTTTTTTTTTTTTTTTTTTCTATCTCTAAACTTTCTCGAACCAACGTGGCTCCCTCTAGTGTGCATCAAGATAACTAGTTACTGATGTTTCCTACTTCTGCTCACTAATTAGACATTTTTGTGATGTGGAGGTACATGAGTTTGAACCATAGGCACTCCATAATGTTAAATCATTGACATTAGCAAGATGATATGATCATTATGACTGATATCAGTTCAAAATAATTGTATATCAAGTAAAATTTACATAAGAAAATAAAAATGCTTCATTAAAAACTTAAAATAATAAAATCAGATAACCATCTTTAATCTCTAAATCATGTAGCAACATTTTTAACATAACATTCATTCTGCGATGCTAGTCAATGGAAAACTGTAATAAACTGTGAAATATTGGCATTTTGCCTTGGTTTGTATTTCTAGTAACTGAACAGGCTGGCTGCACGAGTTTTCCTCACGTCTACTCTACAGGCAATTTCTCTTAGGAAGATTTCCCTGAAAGTATCCCTACTAAGTATATAGCTCAGATATGCTTTGCCATAAACACTATACAGCCATTAATTTTACCTTTAATTGATATGAAAAATTTCTGTAATTCATATTATTAAGTCTTACTGACCAGTATTATAAAAATGATTTTTTGTGAATACTTCTCTAGGGCACAACTAATTTTTCACAAAATTCATTAGTAATATTACACTAATGTATGCAAACTAATTCATGTTTGCATACCTTAGTGTAATAAATAGATTCATGAAATAAAATGTATCGCACTGAAAAGTGCAATGATTAAAATACCAGAATTAAAAAAAAAATTTTAATCCTTCTAAAAAGAATACAAATTAATATAATTTTTTTCATGTTCTTAAATGCCGTCATTATATAAATGTGCATATCTTAATTTTAAAAATGCAAATTAAAACTGTTTAAATAATTTACTTCATGAATATAAATCCAATTTACTGGCTTAAAAATTTTACCAAAATGCTGAAAAATTAAATTTTTAAACTGCACTGCATTGAATAAATACATTTGTTTAACTTGGGGATGGTAAAACATCTGATACTCTTTTCAAAAGTAATTAAAACTACAGCAAAAATTAAAAATTAACTGAAATTTGTATTAGATGGCACCATTCCCATAAAATACAACACAGCATTAAATAAGAATAAATGTAACATCTCTTACAACTTAGATACAAGAAAAGAAATGTTTGTTATGATAAAACAGATCAAACTTTTACTTATCCTCACACGATATCAACAGCAAAATTAAATTATTCCTCAGTATTCTTTAAGTATTGGCAGATGAAACAAAGCAAATCTACCAAAAAAACACTTACTTTGCATAATAAAGATCAAGATGAAAATAAGCAATACAAGTAAATTATCCATAAATATCTGATCATTTCAGATTGTCATAGCTTGAAGATGCCCTCATTACACTACAAAATTAAAATTCTACATTCAAGAATTTATTTTCTAAATAGCTTGCATCTTTTAAAGAAAATCATAAATTATGATAAATGCTACTTCAAAGACCGAATTAAATTTAAAAAGTAGAATTTCAAATGTATTAACTTCTCTAAATATTCAAACGGACAAAGCAGGTTTTTAATTATATTTTAAAAGCATAAGGAGACTTCTAAAATGCTTTATAAAATTTTAAACATTAGTAAATAAAATAAATCCATATGAATTACCTAAAGTGTCTAATTCCAAGGAAAAGAATTCTACATTCAAAGAAGTAAATAACTGCTTGACCTGCAAAAAAATTTGTAATCATTTATTAAAATGTTACAAATTCCATATATAAAATATAAAAGAATAATATAAATTAAGTATGATTAAATATATTTCTATACATAAATATTCAAAAATCCAAGCAGTTAATTATTTAAAACAACATCAAATTGAAAAACAAGGGAAAAGAATAATGAAACACAAAGCCATAAAATACAATTAAAACTCTTAATTAATAACCAAACACTACACTGATTCAGCAGCTATAAACCAATTTATAGCAGTACAGAAATATACAAATGGAAACTTATTGCATAAATATTTCCAACAAAGCATTTCATGTTTTAAAGGACTGTTTTTGACACTTACTTAAGTCTTGTTAAATCTTAAATGAAAAAACAGTGCAGCAATTATTTATTTTTCACAACTTTTAAATAAATATATGTCACAAACATCTAAATGTTTTACATGAATATTATGAATACTAAATGAAAAGCCTCTTCTTTCTAATATAATCCATGCAACAGTGAACACTAGATGACTGAATTATGTTTACATAACTAACAGTTACATACAGTCTTTTAAATTGGCCAAGCACTTAATCAGACAGAGACAGATTTCTCTTTTTGACTGAATTATGTTTACATAACTAACAGTTACGTACAGTCTTTTAAATTGCCCAAGCAATTATTTATTTTCACAACTTTAAATAAATATATGTCACAATTATCTAACTGTTTTACATGAATATTATGAATACTAAATGAAAAGCCACTGTTTTTTCTAATATAATCCGTGCGACAGTGGTCACTAGATGAGTGAATTACGTTTACATAACTGTTACATACAGTCTTTTAAATTGCCCAAGCAATTATTCAAAACATCTATTCAGCTACAATTTTTTTTTCATTCATTAACATACATATACTAAAAACGAGATGACAGCCACAAAATATCTTTTTTTTTTTTTTTTTTTTTAAATGCACGTTGTGATTTATCATACTCAACATACAAAAAACACGATAGCATGAATTACCTAAAGTTTGGGAATTTTTAATCATTAGTTATAGCATTTCGTTCAGTAATTTAATTTCTATCTTCATTTTGACAGAAATTTAACTTTAAATAATAAGAAAATTTATATGTACTTGCAACACAACAAATAAACTAGGTCAGTGAGTCAAAACTTATGGCAATCAGTGAATAATCATTATACCGTACGATTTCCAGAACAGCTTACTTACCTTTGCACAAAATGGGCATGTTGTTTTACTGAATATCATCACCCTGTTGGTTTTCACATAATTGTCAATAACAGAAGCCAGCTCTGCTGGATCCAAAATAGGAGCCATCGTTAATTTGTTAAGCTACGTTTAAATTAACAGATTATCCAATTAATTTAATATACTTTCGTAAAAGAAACAAAAGTACGATACAGATTAATTCAAATGTATCTGCAGGAATTCAGAAAATTGTTACTCTCATTCATTCACTCACATGTTAGTCCGAAAACTGCTCTAACAGAATAAAAAGTACGCGCCATGTGTAAGACATGCAGTTAAAACTTGTTCCGAGACACCAACCACTTGAAACAAAAATTGCGTCATAGCTTCTAGCGGTGTTACGTAAAATTTCCGTTTTAGATAAAATATTCTGACGTAGTGAAAGTTTCATGAAACTTACCTTCCTCGATAAAAAATATCAAGAAATGGAAGATAAGACAAGGGATAATAAAATCTACCGATATGCCTTACGGCTCCATCGTTCAGTTTTTAAAACATGCAGTAAAGTGGGGAAAAAAAAAAAAAAAAGGAAAGTTATCAAATCAAAAGCTGAAAGTAGTCGGAATTTTGTCACACCAAAGGTTTTCAAATAAGCTATATTTAAAAAAACAATTTATATAAGAGATTGCCTTATCTGAGGATGACTGTGTAGGGATGTAAAACGCGTGTATATTATTTGGATTTAATATTATTGTCTGGATAAAAGATTTCTCTAAAGGGCAATAAAATGATAAACATGTAGGAACTGGATTAAAAAATAAAAGTACAAATTAAAACAATTAATCACCCTCTGTTTAATGTTTCAAACAGAACTTTCCAAAGGGTTAGTATTTGAAACACGCCCTTAGATGTTCTGCTGAACTAGATTTTCGTGTATAAATTTTTAATTTAGAAAGCACACAGAAACAGGCTGGAATTTTTGCTTCCATCATATACATATGTGCACTGGGATGATTTGGAGAATAGCTGAAATGAATTGGTGATAGTTCTTTACGTTGCAATAATTTTGAGAGATTTTACTGCGTAGACCTTTAGGAATCATTCTTGTAACCTTATATAATCCTTCTCTTAGAAGGATGATTCCTAAAGACAGACTCAGACTTGATTTCCGCACATAATTTTATTCCTTGATAATTAATTCTTAGAACAAATTTTCTTTGAGAGACTTTACTGCATAGACACAGCCTTAATTTCGGCACATAATTTTATTCTTTAACAATTAATTCTCAGGACTATTATTTTTTTTATCACACACATCATTATGGATGCGATAAGCACTTCCACAATTTCATACAGAATACAGTATTAGGTATAATGGACAATAAACTAGAAGAGGCTAAGTGACAAGTTTAAGCTGCAGAGTGGGAAATAGGAAAGAGAAGTACACGTAGATCACAGATCATCTTTCATCGTACAGTATTCTATCTTAAAAGGGCCGTGACTCTTATACGATCTTCTTATTTCTTAGGCAATCTAAAAAAATAAGAAAATCCAACCAAACGTGCGATCTAAAGCATGGGCTCATAGAAAGAGAAATCTGCAATGTATATGTCGCCATCTGTTGCGCAGAGAGACATCTTGAAGGAGAGAGGTACACAAGAGTAATATAGTAAATTATTTCTTTGGCTGAGAGCTGTCGCGCTGCAGCTTGATTATAGGGACATAGAACGTACTAATTTACAGATGACGCACTTAATATTCATATCTTACTTAAGTTTTTAAGACAAGAAGGAGACACAGCCAAATTAAAATGAGTAATTCAAGGTTTAATATTTTTTTTCTCTCTCTCTCTCTTTCTCACACACATATATAACTTTTTTATAGAAACAAAAGCGGTGTTTTGCGTAGTTCCAGATAGGAGGCCCTTAAGCTACGGCCTAGCTTCGCTTCTGTTTCGTTCCACATAGGCATCATCAAGAACTGCACAAAAAGAAGGTTGCAGAAATATCAGTTGAAAGAAATTCAAATACGAAGGAAAATAAACTGCACGTGGTTAATCTGATTACGTGCTAAACAAATGTGTTTAAATTATAAAAGTGAAGCAACAACTTGTGTTAAGGGTAGATTTTTAGGATAGAAACTCTATCGATTTCGAAGGCAAACAAAGTCCCTCTTCATCAGGAGCAAAGAAATCTGAAACTGAAAAACCAAGTTACGAACAAATCATACCCTAAAGAGGTTATCACTTCTAGCGACAGTCCCTGCCAGACTTTTCTGAGAAACGAGATTCTGGTAACACTGGTTTAAACGGGAAGATTCCTAGAAAAAAAGAGCCCCGGTGGAATCGAAGTCTCCGCCTAGCTACGGAAACGATGTAGCGGCTACGCGGGATTTTTTTAAACATCACCGAAAATGTTTCGATTGGAGCTCTGTCTCGGGTAGAGATCAATCAATCAGATTAAAGTTCTACTTCTGAAGGATCACGTGATCCCAATCTGAGCGATAATCGATTACTGTTTGGCATTCAAGTCTTTGTAGTTTGTGAAAATGATAACTTAGCTAAGAGGGTTTCCTGGAAATGTGCGGGTTCTGAGAATCGTCCCTTTCGACGTCCAATCTCGCGTAGCCGAAACATAATGCGATTGGGACATAAGTGTAATGGCTTCGTGGTTCAATAAGGCACCATTTATCAAGACGAAACAAACATTTATTTAAATATTATTCAAACCATGATATTAAACTCAGAGCAGTACGTCGCTCCTACAACATAGCAAAAATCGAAAACCTTTCTCTTCCGAAGCTAACATTCAACTCCCTTAAAATACAGTAACCCTTCTTGGAGAAGAGGCTACACTCGCCAAGCGCGCTTTGTTAATCGCCAGATACTACAATAAGGAAGTCGACAGAGACGAGAGAGTAACGCCATCTGTTAGTAGAAATAAGAACAAAAATTGAAAAGTTAGGGTAAAAGAGATTTAAAAGTGTTAGGTAGGATTGGAATATATTCATAAACAACACTGTAAGTTTTTGCGAATGTGAAAAAGCTTCAAGAAAATCTAATTCTCCAATGGAAGAAGCTTTTTGGTTAATTTCTGCAGACCCAAAGTCGAAATTGTGATTAAATTTCCACCTATGATTAGCAATCGAAGACTTGTAGATTTCATCTTTTCGGGCATAAGATTAATGTTCCTTAATGCGAAACCTTAATGCTTTTTTGGTTTGGCCGATATATCTCGAACCACATTGACAAGATATGCTATAAGTTCCCCAAGAACTCAAGTCAGAAATAGTATCTTTAAGAACTGAACCATGGATTTTATTGATAGGCGAGAAAATGGCCCCGTATACAGGAAATTGAGTTAGTTAGTTTACGACTGCTATCTTCAAACTGTGTTTTCCGGAAGCGGGGAGTTCCAGAAGTGGGAGTTCCAGGAGTTTCCGGAAGCGGGGAGTCCCTGAGTTCCTCGGGTCAGAATAAAATTTGAGATATGGCATATGTCAAAGAGAATAACTTTCAATGCTTTGCAAAAGTAAACAGCTTTCTAATGAAAAATGAATTACATTTAGACCATAGTATTAAAAATTTTATAAGGTAGCACCTTTCTCAATTGAAGAAAACTATAAGAGAAAATTTCCGAGATTAGAAAACTAAGTATGAATAAAAAATCAGTTCAAGTACTATGATAAATCAGAAGGTTTGCCAACGAAGGTAAGGGTACAACTTCTCGACATATCAACAGATTCGACATTCAGATTTAAATTTAAGCAACAGCAGCTCTTAAAGTTTTGGTTGCAGATTCAAGCATATCTAGAAGTTTCTCACACAGTTACGAATACATTAATGCCATTCGGAACAGCGTATTTAAATAAAAAATCTTTCTCAACGTACATGGTAGCAAAGACACAAACAAATTAATTGCAGAATCTAAAATGCGATTGCAGATAACATCAACAAGGCTAGATAGGTGGTTTGAAAAAGTACAAGCAGACCCCAGCCACTAAATATAATGCAAGAGTAAGTGATACAAGGAGCTCAATTTAATGCTTTTAATGAGTTGACTGCATTAATTTTATGTTAAAATTTTTTAATAAAAAATACAATATTTTTTTAGTCTTTCATAAATACCTATAACATATTTCTCTAGCTATTATTTTAAGCTACATTTCCGTAGAGGTGGGATGGGGTTTCCTAAAAAACCTCATAGTTCTAAGGGCTCCTTGAGTCAACAAAGTTTGAAGATCATTGGTTTAAGATAAAGATTAAGAACGATTCTGGACTCATTGTTGACTGCATATTCCACACATTCATTAATTCTACTACTTATTTAAATATATTTAATTTTAAGACAATTAAACTGCTTTACCTAATACCAAAAGAAAATCTTAATGGTAACGGAATTTTGTTCAATATAATTAAATGCTGAAAACATATTTTGACCATTATTTGATTTTCAGATCACGCTCGTTAAAACGGTCCTTTGAGCGCGGCAGAGAAAAAAAAAAAAAAAAAAAAAAGTTCTGTGCCATACCCTATATGATTTACAGCACTCCAAAAACGGGGAAAGGGGAAATCAGTGATTTTTCACTAGTGTTGACTTTGGATGGGGCTGAATTAATTATTAAGCAATATTAGCACGTGCTTATGGGGCACCAAGGTCGTAAACCGCATAATAGAATTTTTTTGCAAGAAAAATCTTCCATCCTTTTTTTCTGGATTTTTACATCAAGAAAGTGTGAAAATTGGAGTCTCATTTCTGGTATCAGTTGGCTTTCAATCCAGTTTTGCTGTTTTGGGGAATCAGATTTTTATGGGATTTTCCTCTCGTCTGGGATGTGTTGGGGACAAATAATAAATCTATATGGAAAAGAAGCATGTCTTGTGATACAGAAATAAAGGAAACATGCGAAATATAGGGTTCAAGAGAGAAGCCATAGAATAACAGATTTTATATAAAATTTTATTTTGAATTTTCCATGAAATTTGAACCTATGTAAGGGCTTTTATCATAATAATTATATTTATTATTTTTAAGAAATGAATAAAACAACTGGTTAAGTTACAGACTAACAGACAGGACAGCATTATACGTAAACATACAAAAAAAAAAAAAAAAAAATAAGATGACTAGATTTGGAAGTTCGAAATTCGGGACGCCATATATAATTTTTTTAATATTTTTTTAACAAATAAATTATTTTATAATTAATGTTATTGTGGTGGAGGTGGTAAACAGGTGAAAAATTGATTCTAAATTTCTTTCCTTTTGTGTATGCATATAGTTCGAAATTCGGGACTCTATATATAATTTTTTAATATTTTTTTAACAAATTTAAACAAAATAATAAATTTGTAACTCTCCTAAATTATTTTGACTGTGCAGCCTTATATTTCTCTGAAGTACATTTGTTAGAACATC